ACTCCTAGGCACAAAATCGATAGTATCAGTGCACTAAATCGATATATGTCAAATAGTGATTTATTCCTGACTTCATTCCGTTATGACAGCTTATATATTTCATACATTTTGTCAAAAATGGCGGTTTGTCATTAAAACTGGAGAGGACGATTTTAGATTTTACTTAGTTTTAACTTTTGTAAATTAATTTTTATTATGGCTGCCTGTGAAACAAAAGAGCAAACCAAGAATAGTATCACATTGAAAGGCTCAGCTAAAATTATTGTAGAGTATTTAGGTAAATGCATATAGTAGTGTTATAACGATTTTTTTTTGCTGTTTTGCTTCGAAAACTGGATTTTCATTTCAGAATTTGGAATCAACAATATTTTATTTATACGAGGTATTTATCCACCTGAGTCCTTTAAGCCTGTACAACAGTATGGCTTGTCAATTCTAATGTCTCAAGATGAAAAAATACAAGAATTTATTAAGGCTGTTATGGGTCAAACCAGAGGTATTTATCTGACATGATTGTTATGCTAGATTTGATGTGATATTTCTGAATGCATTCATTTGCCTTATTACGTTATATTTATTTCTCCTATTTAATTACTCATAAGAATCTATAACTTCATAAGAATCTATAACTTCATAAAACTATGAGGTAAAGTCTGGATTGCCCAAATTGAAGATTCTCATCAATTATCTTCTTGAACATTGATCATTTTGCATTGGCCTGCTTTCAACACTATTCCATGAGCAAATACTTTGTGTAACCAATAAAATGACACTGTTCAGCAGTGCTGTTAAACATTATTTGAGCAGTTAGGAATGTTTTGCATCGGATTTTCTACATGAACTTTAATGTTTAATATGACTACTATTCTTATTTATATTTTGCCTAGAAATTAAAAGTTTATGTCTGTATAAATAACGTGGTTCAAAAGGAAAATTCTTTCTAAATAGCCCAGGAAATAATACTGTATACTTTATCATCCGGTGGCAACATGATATGTGCATCTTTGCATTCAATGAAATCTTTATATCAATTTATACATTACTTGGATTAAGGTGAAAAATGGTTTTTGTATGAAGTATTAAGATCATAGTGTCAACATTTAGCATTTCAGATATGTTTTGTACCAGAATAAGACTCAACATTGAGTTCAGATTTCAAATTTAACTGATAGATTCATAACAGAAATTAAGTTTGAGTTTAGGTACAAAAGTTATTATTGGTAACAGATCAGCGTTTGGATTTTTCAAATTGCTACTTCATTTTACCTAAAATTCCTATTTATTGCTACTTATATTTTTTGTTCTGCAGATTGGTTAGCACAAGATAAAGTAAATAAAATTACAATGATAATCAAAAATGTTGCTGCAGATGAGACTTTAGAAAAGTGGGACTTTGTTGTTGAGAGTGAAAATGCTGATAAAGAAAATGTAGATGATATGAATAGAGTTGCAACAAAAGATTTAAAAGTTATTCAGAAAGAAATTCGCGATGTTATGCTACAAATTTCAGCAACTGTTTCATATTTACCACTGTTGGATTGCATTTGCTCTTTTGATGTTTTGATTCACACTAAAGCAGATTGTGATGTTCCAAAAGAATGGAGTGAGACTAAGGCTGTTGTTATTCAAAACGAGCAAGAAGTTCCCTTCCGATCATTCTCTACTGGGCTACATAAATTAAGCACTGTTGTTCATTATAAATTAGACTTATGAGTCTTAATCAAGTTTTGTATGATATTTAGTTTTATAAATCTCTTTTTAATGCTTATTACATTATTTATATATAATTTTAATAAACATAATTTTATTCCGAAAGCATATGTTTTCAATTTTTCATATATAAATGATAGTTTAAAATAAAATAAATTATGTAGATCCTCCAATCAGAATGCGATTGATTTTAGCGAACTCAATTCTTTAAAATTAACTTTATTTTAATTACACAGCTTATAATAAAAAACGAAAACATTTTCAAACTACAATATGTTTACACAATCTACAATTTGTTTGGACAAACATGTTCAGGCTAACTACAAATATATATATATATATATATATATATATATATATATATATATATATATCTAGAGAATATATTTAGACGAACTATGTCCCTTTAAGAAAATCTACTCTACTTTGAGGCAATTTATATAAACAGCATTTTATGATCATCTACATTTTGAAATAAGAAAATATTTTGGTTTAAAATGATGATAATAAAGACACCATTATAAAAAATATATATTAATTACACCATATCCAATACATTTTCATTATTTATAGTAAACATTCTTGTTGTAATGATTTGTTTGCCTGTAAGGTCTAATTAACCTTGCTTACAAAACGAAAAGTAACTAATATAATAAAGAAGCAATTTAAAATTGTAATTAATTAGCCATTTAAAATATCTCAGAATGTTGAACAACTTTCAATGGAATATTTTTAAACTACACAGGAAAATAGTATGCACTTCACCAGCCTTTAGATCATCTTTAGATACAAATTGAAATTTTATTTGTTATAGAAAAAAATATATTATTGTTAGTAGATTAAAAAAACAAAGTCGGTATATATATACATAAATTTAATTAATAATAATTTCAAATCAACATATGCTGCAGGGTAATATTTGTCCAATATTGTTCCCCGTGCGATTTATGAAAAACAACCAATAATAAAAATCTAAGAATATTTATTTCATTTGAAATAATGCAAGAATACACAAAATCTAAACTCAGAATAATCTTCATTAAAGAAATTTATCAAAGCAATTGCTACTGATATCTTATAATTCAGGATTCTTATGAAAAGTTTTTTTAACCGTACGTTTGAAAATTTTTTATTATTGATTTTTGGAATTGTATTCTAAAATGACTTTTATGTTGTACAATTGCTTCGGATTTATATTGTTTATATTTTTCGTTTAACTATGCCAGTTAGTTTTGTTTATATATGATGAAACAAAATGTATTTCACGACCGTTGCAATTATTTCTCAATAAAATTATTAATAAAATTACGAAAAATATAACGGAAAATATAAAATTTGGATTGTTTTAGTTTTGCAGATTTTTTTTTTATCAATTAAATAATTTTGTTACATCATTAGAATTTCTTGACTCAGTAGCAGTAGTCTTTTGTACACGTTTATTTTATAAAAAACGTTTTTTTTTGAAAATGAAAATTCAGGAACAGAAACAGTAATGCTATAAAAACAGAAAAAAAACTTAATTTGAGTCATAAACAAATATAAAGTGCATGGTGTATATGGCATCATGCCCTAAGGCAAATTGCTAGAACTTCCCGTACCGTAATGAAATGTTCTGGGAATATTAAATGTTTTAATCTAATATTTTTAGAAATTATATAAATTGAATTGCAAAGTTGAAAATATTTATCTAGAAAGTATATTAGAACTTAAGTCAGAATTACAATTAAAATCTGAATTATTTTCGATATACAAAAAAATTTTTTAAAAAAATGAAACAATTTTTTTTCTCAAAAGCAATTATTTTGTTAAAACAAGCAGAAAGTTTTTTGAATCATTCAAATCAGACGCTAGTTCTCGCAGAAACTACTATTTTTTGCATATTTAGCTCTGTATCTCCGAAACCGCTGGACCTGCCTTTGCCAAAACTAATCAGCACATCTCCTTATCAATCAAAGGAATCAAAAGTTTTTTGAACCATTCAAATTGGTTGATCCGTTCGCCCAAAAACGTGGACGAAAAATTGTATCCATACATACAATATATAATATAGTCTTAATATATATTACATGAAGCTTAAAAATGCTTATAGATCTTTTTTTTTTACTAATTCTTGGGTGCTCTAAAGAAAATGCCTGATTGGGCATTTTTGTATGCAATGTTTGTAAACAAATTTTGTTGCTAAACCAATTTTCAGTATACCTACAATATGTTGCGTTTATTGTTTATTTCTTATAATCGGTCAAGTCGATTTTCAAATAAATATATTGAGAAAACGTTTAAAATATTTCAAAGTAGGTCTTGAGCTCGTATTTGTATGTGCTGAGCTTGCATTTACATACACATGTGATATTGCTGAGTCGCGGGAGTGCTGACATATATAAATACAGGAACTTATTGTCTGGTCTGGTAGTTCTCGATTTCGAAAACTGGGGATCGTTTGAATAAAGATTTTCGGAACTTGTTAACAATTTGTTTTAATTATGAAGAGTTATTTGTGCATTTGTTTAGTAGTGGCTTTAGTAGCAGTAGTTGCTTCTTTGCCTCAGAACCGATATACATCTAAATATGATAATATTGATGTCGATAAAATTTTGGGAAATGAACGTATATTGACCAGTTACATCAAGTGCTTGCAGGATAAGGGTGCTTGCACCGCCGAAGGAAGGGAACTAAAAGGTAAACTAATAAATAATTTGAATAATTTTCATACTTTCATAATTAAAATGATGAGCTTGATTTGTTAATATATTGTATTGCGCTCTGAACAAAGAATTCCAAGTAACTTCAATGAACACATGGTATTCTAATATTGTCTAGGCTTCAATGTTTCCAAAAATATGTTACCTATATTATTGATGCTGTAGTGTGTATGCTAGTTATATCCATCCATCTAAAAGGTATATTGCGCTTTGTGCAAAATAACCAGAAAACTATTTCTTACAAAAAAAATAGTTTTTCTTTAGTCTTCTTGTTCGGAACTCATTTAAATGAGTTTATATGTGTTATATCCGTCCATTTCCACATAGGTATATGAACACTTATACCTTAAAAGTCGGAGAGAGTAGAGATGTTATGAAACATATTATTTAATATGTTATGATAAAAATTGTATGGCTATGTTGTAACTGCTTTCACTACTTCACAATCTCTTTGTCAATTCATGTTGTGCTTACCTTCGGCCGCGCCATTCACTTCCACTTGCAACATACATATAAAAATAATATATATATATATATATATATATATATATATATATATATATATATATATATATATATATATAAATATTAATTATTTGAACTGATTTTCCAATATTCAAACTTAACTAGAACAAAAAAATGTTAGGAGATTGGAAAAAATGTCTACTTCAATTGTAAAAGTGCTCAAAAATAAAGATATTTTTATTTACTGGAGCCATTGAAAACCTGCCCATAGTATGATAAAAACATTCTACATTCTGATTGATTATTAATAAAATTATACTGAAAACATCGAATAATAGTAAAGAAAGTATTATTATCGCTTTTGTTAACTTTACATGATCATAAACAATGGTTATTACCATTTTTTAATATATTATCACTGATGTTTCTATTAAGTGTGAACTTTAAATTTTAAATCATAACTGATTTAACGGATTTTATTTTCAAACAGCCATGCTTCCGGATGCTCTGGAAAATAACTGTGCCAAATGCAATGAGAAACAAAAGCAAGTTTCTGAGAAAGTCATTAAACATTTGCAAACTCATAGAAGCAAAGATTGGAATGATCTCCTGAACAAATATGATCCTCAAGGAAGATTTCGCGCTCGTTACACCAAGGCTTAAGTGATTATACGATTTATTATTATTTCTAAATAATTTGTACAACGAGATATAATTTATTATTTCTGTATTTATTATTTGTCATAATTATTTAATTTGTTTTATTATTTATGTTCATTTATTGCATTTTTTATATTATTCACATCTATGAACATTTTGTGTATTGGCATTATTGTATGTTATTGTATTATGTATTGTTTATTGATTAAATAAAATGATTTTTTATATTAATTTTAAATTCTCATTCATACATGTTTCAGTTCGAAAATACTATCAAACAAAATGTTTTAATATAATATTTATAAATATTAAGCCAAGCATTCGTACCGGCCGGTTTAAAGTAGCAACATGGATGTTGCCATATGAAAACCTAAGAATATATGTTATATATTGCCTGGGGGTAATGATTTTCTGTAATTAGTTTATAAAATATTTAAAATTGTTTATCGGTAAATTATTAAACTACTTATGTGTAAAGTTTAATAAAATTGTAGGTGCCATCTTGCAATATTATTTGACAGTTACGTTTAGTTCTATGTTTCAACAAAATGACACTTTAGAGTCAGTTTTAACAAAAGTGGCCAGTCACTTCAGTGATTTAATAAGAAATTTAATACCACTGTTAATTAGGACTTCGATAGAATTTATATAAAACTACTTACTACTACTTATAGTGTTTTAATATTTTAGTATTTATTTTATAACCTAAAATAATTTGTTAATATAATGGATGGAAGAGACTTTAAGCTTAGTACTGAATTGCTTGGACATTCGGCTGATGTTCGTTCAATAGCTATTAATGAAAAGAATGTTATTGTTTCTGGATCTCGTGATAAAAGTGTAAAAGTTTGGGAGCCTGATGAACAAATCCCTAACTATGTTAATACTCATTCATTATCTCACCATTCTAGTTATGTTTCTGCAGTGGCCTTTCTTGGAAAAAATACGAATAGTTATCAACAAATTGTGAGTGGTGGTAATGACAATACAATTCGTATTTACAATGAAGATACAACAGAAGCGCTAGTTTTAAAAGGTCACACAGGTGCTGTTTGTTGTTTAGCAGCCGGTCCATCAACAAATACATTACTAAGCGGAAGTTGGGATAGTACTGGTCGCTTTTGGACATTACATGATGATGGGACTTATTCTTATATTGAACTAAAAGGACACTCTGCAGCAGTTTGGGCTATTGCTGCCCTCCTAGGTGGTGAAGGGTTGTTAGTTACTGGTTCAGCGGATAAGTCAATAATTGTTTGGTCAAGTAAAGGTGAACGAATGGCAACTCTTGAAGGCCATACAGACTGTGTACGAGGTTTGGCTCCATTGCCAGAACGTACTCTACTAAGTTGTGCCAATGATGCAACAATACGATATTGGGATGCAACTGGACAATGCAAAAAAATATATGATGGCCACAATCATTATATTTACAGCATATCAGTACATCTCAATTTTGGAGTTTTTGCTACTGCAGGAGAAGGTGGTCAAATTAGACTTTGGAAAATTGACTCATCCAGTGATGAAACAAATTATACAGATGAAATAAACCTACCTGCTCAATCAGCATGGGCAGTTGCTTTTCTGAGTAATGGGGATTTAGTAACAGGTTCTAGTGATGGTGCAGTTAGAATATTTTCAAGAGATCCTCAACGACAAGCCTCTGAAGATGCGCAAAATGTATTCAATGCACAAGTACAATCCAGACAAGAAGCTGCTAGTCAACACTTGGGAGGAGTAAGGTCACTGATCTTCCTGGACCAGAAGCATTAATGATACCTGGTAAAAGTGAGGGACAAACACGGTTGATAAGGGAAACAAGTGGTGTTTGCTGCTATCAATGGGACAAAGGACAATGGACAAAAGTAGGTGATGTTATGGGAGCTGTTGGTGATAATCCTGAACCCACAGGAGCAAAAAAGATTCATGAAGGAAAAGAATATGATTATGTATTTTCGGTGGATGTGGAGGATGGAGCACCTGCATTGAAATTACCATACAATAGAGGAGAAGATCCTTGGATAGTTGCACAAACTTTTATTCATAAAAATAATCTACCTCAAGCTTATCTGGAACAAGTAGCTAATTTCATAATTACAAATAGTCGGGATCCAAATGAAGTACCTAGGAGCACTGGGTATTCAGATCCTTTTACTGGAGGCTCTCGTTATGTACCTGGTTCAGCTTCAGCATCAAATTTTCCACAAAATACAGGCGCTGCTGATCCTTTTACAGGAAGTTCAGCTTATACTACGAATGCAGCTACTCGTACATCAAGTAGTACAAGTGTCCATCCTGCAACCACTAATGCTTATATACCTTTTGACAGCTATGTAACATTTGATCATGCTAATAGAGATGTAATTCTAGAAAAATTGAGAGAATTTAACAGGACTATAATAAATGCTTCTATAAGAGAAAGCGATGAAACATTAGTAAATGCTGTAAGTTATTATAATAGATTTACTGTGAAAGTATCAATTTATATAAATATTTGTTAATTAAAGGTATTTTTACCATTCTAGGTTCGAATGACTGAGACAATTCAAAGTCCTGATCAAACATCTATAGAAGCTTTACGTCGTTTATTACTATGGCCAATGGAAGCCAGATTTCCAGCATTAGATATAACTAGATTAGCAATTCGGTCAGGTTCAGTATGCAATGCACTTCTACCAGCTGATTCTCTAGTATGGCCAGATCTTGTTGCATGTTTAGATTTAAATCATGCCATACCAGCCAATCGAGTTATGGCTTTACGAATAGTCAGCAATTGTCTATCTCATACAGAAGGTAGAGCTCTACTCAAAAGTTCTGGAGCACTAGATGCATCAGTTTTATGTACTGGTAGCTTATCTGCTGGGGGAGTTGCATTACAAATGGCAGTAGCAACTTTCTTGCTCAATGCAGCGGTTACTGCAAGGGCTTGTGCTGAGGAGAAATTGACTATGGAATTATGCGCTTCTGCATCCAATGCAATGATTTGGGTTATTGATCCAGAAGCAATGTTTAGATTATTACTTACTTTAGGAACATTGGCTGCTTCTGGTCAACAGCCTGCAGTATTGCTGAAATCAAATCAACATCTTAAAGAAAAGTGCTCCAAAATATCATCAGGAATTGGTTACACTAGTGAAAAAGTAATTAAATGTGCTCAGGAGGTTGTTGCCTTATTATGGTAGCCTTATATAATGAACATAAAGCGGATAGACAACTTGTTTAGCAATATATAAGATTATGTATATGTACATTAGTACATTTGAATAAGATATATGAAAGCAATTATTTTTATAATTGACAATATTTTTTTAAAGAATAATTTATTTAATATTTCAAGTTACATAATTTGATCCATAAAGTTCTCTGCGTTTATTTTTCCGTTTGAAAATATTCTGAGATTGAAAACAATATAACTTGTATTAATTAATTTGACATAAATTCTGTAAAAAAATCTTGTTACAAAGGCTTAAACTGCTAAAATAAAGTTGAATATCTTAATAAATAGCAGCTTTATGATTCTAAAGCAGAACGCACATATTTATTTCATGCGCAATCGACTTTCGGATATTTTGATTTTAGCGGTTTTCCCATCTGATCTATGGTTTGAAGTATGTCATATACGGGCTTTACAGCAGATATTACTTCTATGCTGTTTAAGTCAAATTTGTTAGTTTTAGGTTATGTAAATGACAATTGTAAAAATAACTTGAAGTCTTGAAGATAATATTTAATCCCGTGTTTTATCTTATACACTTTAATTATGTCTGAAATAGAAGTTAAACAACATAATCTAGATAGTGATGATGATAGTGAATGGATTGGACCAGCCCCCTCTGAAGCATCTAAGCCGAAAAAAAGAAAAGTATTGCAACATGAATTGTTATATTTAGAAAATTTACCGAACTGCAGTTCCTATGAAAGAAGTTACATGCACAGGGATGTTATTACACACATTGTAGTTACAAAGACTGATTTTGTTGTAACTGCTAGCCAGGATGGACATGTTAAATTTTGGAAGAAAATGGAAGAAGGCATTGAATTTGTAAAACATTTTCGAAGTCATTTGTCATCTATTAATGGTCTTTCAGCTAATTGCAGTGGTACATATGTTTGCACAAGCTCTGTCGATAAATCAGTTAAAATATTTGATGTTATCAATTTTGATATGATTAATATGATTCGTTTGGAGTATGAACCGGGATGTGTAGAATGGATTCATTCTGCTGGTGATGCTATATCTGCATTAGCTGTGACAGATTCCGCATCTAATAAAGTTTATATATATGATGGGCATGGAAGTAACACCCCAATTCATTCATTTGAGAAACTACACATGAGTACAGTTTTATTAGTAAAGTATAATCCAACATTTGATGTAGTTATCTCGGTTGAGAAAACTGGTATACTAGAATATTGGAGTGGTCCTAAACAAGAATATAAATTTCCAAGATGTGTCCAGTTTGAATCAAAATTAGATACTGATTTGTTTGAATTTGCTAAAAATAAAACATGTCCTACTAGCATTGCTATATCAAACAATGGTATCAAGTTTGCTGCCATTTCCATAGATAGAAAAATTAGAGTGTTTAATTTTTTAACTGGTAAACTTACAAGGATATTTGATGAAACATTGCAAGGATTTGGTGAGTTGCAGCAAAAAATCCAACAGCTTCCTCCAATGGAATTTGGAAGAAGAATGGCACTTGAAAGAGATTTAGAAAGAAATGATGCACTTAAATATGGAAATATTGTATTTGATGACAGTGGATATTTCTTAGTCTACTGTAGTATTCTAGGTATTAAAATAGTAAATCTTCATACAAATAGATGTGTGAGACTACTTGGTAAATCAGAAAATCTACGTCCATTACAAGTTGCTTTGTACCAAGGTCGATCCCAAATAAGTGCAGCTGCACCTACAATTGAAGCACTTGGTTCTGATAATCCAACATTATCTTCATCAAGGAATGATTCTACTATATTTTGTACTGGGTATAGAAAAAATCGTTTTTATATGTTTTCTAAACGTGAACCAATTGATTCTGAAGCTTCTGGGGTTCATCAAAATGAGCGTGATGTATTTAATGAAAAACCATCTAAAGAAGATGTTATTTCAGCCACAGAATCTTTGGGAGTCCAACGAATCTATGAAAGTGCAATTATTCATACCACTGTAGGAGACATATTTTTACAATTGTTTCCTAAGGAATGTCCCAAAAGTGTTGAAAATTTTGGTGTTCACAGTAGAAATGGTTATTATAATGGACACATATTTCATAGAGTTATTAAAGGCTTTATGATACAGACTGGGGATCCTACGGGTAATGGAACAGGTGGAGAGAGTATTTGGGGCAGAGAATTTGAGGATGAGTTCACCCTCGGCTCAAACATGACAGACCATACACACTTAGCATGGCAAATGCTGGTCCTTGTACAAATGGAAGTCAATTTTTCATAACTTTAATACCTACCCCTTGGTTGGATAACAAACATACAGTGTTTGGCCGAGTTACCAAAGGAATGGAAGTTGTACAAAACATTAGCAATGCAAGAACAAATCCTAAAACTGATAAACCACATGAAGACATATCTATTATTTCTATCACAGTGAAGTAGATAATGCAAGGTAATATTTTGTAAATAATTTAAGTCAGAAATATATTTTGAATCAGTTTTTACAAGATCATTTTATAAAATCTGAGTAACTAACATGTTTTTGTACCATGAAACCTTTTCATTAGAACTGTTAAAATGATCTATTTCTGAAAACAGTATTACTGTATTAGATTCAACAATTTATTTAAATTGATTCTTATTGTAAACAGAATTTGATAAGTAAGAATATCTATTTTTCAAATTTTATGAAATGATTAGTCGGATATTACAATTTTGTTACAATAGTGGGCTTGAGAAAAGTGAGATCCATAAAATACTACTTTTAATTTTACTCAAATAAATGACAGCTAGAAATATTGAATGACTTGGTTAAATATAGTGTGAATATGAACTGCGAAACTGTTGAAATTAGATTAAAATAATTAGAATAATTATTTGATATTAATTAAAACCTAATACATTATTTATTTTTACCAAATGTTTTATTGACAAATAAATGATAATCTATAGTCTATCTTAGCAGAGCCTAAATCCTAACTTTTACTCTTTTCAATATTGATCAGTTTATTTGAAATATTTCTTAGTCATCTTTATTTACAGTTACACTATATTAATTGTTTATTTATGAAGGCATCGGGTATGTTATCATTAAAATAAAATTTTAAATATTATAATCCAATGAGTATTTAAAGGTAATTTATTCGTAAAATATAAAGTGGTAAACTGTTTACATTTAATAATCTATTCGTGTGAATCATATTTCTCATTAAACCTTCTTGATATTGATCTGAAAACAAATTTATGATTTGTAGGCTAAATGGTTAACAAAATTTGTTAAGGGCAGTCTATGTTGTAAAAAATTATATAAAACAATAATTGTTTCCTCATTATACTCACTTATTATGTTCATAGAACCGCTAAGTAAATGTTCATCGTGTACAGCTCTATATGTTAATGTAGCCAAACTACCACGATTTGGATCAATCTAAAATTATAACAGATCTTTAATATAAAGCATAAATCCTCACTGGTAATATTATAGAGATTTTTTTTATTAATAACATACAATATGAAGATTATCTTCCACATCCACATTTTTCACATCTTCTTCATAATTAACTTGATGTGCTGTTTGTTGATGTTTTCGTTTTTGATATATGAAGAAAATAACTACCACACTGCATATTGATAGTAAACTTACAATTACAATCGTAGACGTGTTTCCTAAAGAATATATAAAAAGTATGAATAATATGAATCAGTAGTATAAATATCGATGAGCGAGGCATAAATTATATACATATTTGTAATAGTATAACGGCTAATACGTGGAATTAAAAAAATATGACAATTATTTATTTATATGTTTGGATACTAACTTGTGTCAGCAATCAGCTAAAATATTACATTTTTTAAAAAAATATAGCACAAACAAAATATATATAAATTAAATGCATAAAAATTAAAAATGGTGTATACCAACCATGAGGACAACTTAAAAATATAAAAATTATGAAAACACAAGTTCACAATCTACAACCCTGTATAACAGATCGCACCAACTTCAAGTTAGTTTTAAAAATTGAAACTGACTGCTCAAAAGCGTCACAAACCGAAAATAAAAAATAAGTGAAAATACAGTGTTAAATATTAAGGGTTAAATCAGATTTTCAAACTTTAATTGGATTTTAATAAGTGCCAAAAAATGAAGAAGAGAGCTATGATTATTAACACTAGAAGAATTAAAAAAAAACAAAACCAAATTCTGCACATTGTCAGTTAAGGTTAGTATTTTTTTTCTTGATAAAGAATTATGGTTTAATTTTATACTGTCAAAGTATTGTCAAAATTAAAAACTAATCCAAAACCTTCTTCGGAATACGTATTGGCCGTTTAATTAATTTATAATTAATTATCATTGTTCTAATAATTTAAACCGACCCCATGAAGCTTTTTTAACTGAATCTCCAATATCGATTTCAGTAACATTCTGAGTAGTTGGTTCCAAATCATCAGCAAGTTTTGTATTGTAGTTGTTTTTATCGTAGACGTGCTCATGGGAGTTGTAGTTGTAGTAATTATTTTGGAACTAGTAGTGATTATTTGCGATGCAGTAGTGATATCAGTTTTAACTGTGACAGTTGTGATGGAACTGGTTTTGTGGTTGTTGCCGTCTTTTCTTTCAAAATTGTGCTAAAAAGAAAACAGGGAATATTAATTTTACTTCTAAAATCAATATGAACAATAAAATCGAGTTTTTCTGCGCCTTGGAGACGATTTGATCATGAACATGTATCTAAAGATAAATTTGTTGCTTGGCAAGAAATTGATATAAGATCTTATAAACAATTATCTCATAAGATATCCATATGATGACTTACCTACCGAATTGTATGATTTTATTTCTTATTGTGATCTAATATTTTTCACATTTTACCTGTAATATCCAATAGACCGACAGTTGCATCGTACAAAACCTCGTTCTCGGATATTCTCTTCAATTGCACAATTTTCTTCTGAACAAACATTCATATTTATCATACAACACTAAAAATATAGCTTACTATAATAAGCTTATTATAATAATATTTATAAATATTATTTCATTTTTTACCGCTAATTTTGAATTTTGTGGTACATTTATACTTTCGGATGGAATCTTGATAGTGATTTTAATGCTCATGCCATTTAAGTCTATAAGTTTTTGATTTGTATTCATTATTTTAACACCATAAATAAATCCTTTTGTTTGTGGCTTGTTTTTATTATCCTCCATAAAATAGTTATTGGGATAAGCAACTTTTCCAATGCAAACTTCGTTTAAGTTGGAAAATTCTTTTCCGAATTTTATGAATGCTGTTGCTTTTTTATGCAAAAATTTTGCTGTATCGTTATAAAATGGGATAGACACAAATGTATTGTATTTTTATTTAAGTTGATTGTTTCGACAGAAAATGAAGCAATCTTTTTGTCTGAAAATAATAATAATATTATTATTATCCGATCATAAAATTTTTAAATTATATTTACTATTATATTTTCTATCGATCCTAGACATTGCTGATACCTAAATTTATTTTTAATGTATGGATTAAAATAAACGCTGACACTTACTTCTCTGACATACATGCCATTTTATTTAGTTTGGTTAAAATTTTCTTCAGTTTAATTTTTGTGTCACTTTTATATTTTTTTATTATAAATAAATTATTGTATTTTTTACGTAGTTCGATTACAAAAATAGCTCAATTTAATTTAGTTACACTATGTGTATATGTATATATGTATACATATCTATAACTCAAGAATTTTGCAATAACAATTTTCAGTGAACGTTTTTATCAATTTTCTGTGAGTGTTTATTTTAAATTTTATTTTTATTTGTTTTCTTTAATTTTTCTGAATTAAAAGAACTGCGTTTACTTTTTTATGAATGCTAGTGAAAATACTGTATTAAATTAAAAAAAGTTTTATATAGACTTACCGAAATTATATTTAACATCCTGAGAGCAAAGTCTGGTCATGAATCTTTCAATTGTCCTGGGCAATTTCTTTTTTTCTATTGCAATTGCAGTTGCATTTTTAGACTTATAGATTACTTCCTCAATTAAATCTAATCCAGTATCAATATCTTCTTCTGTTACAAACGCCTTAATATTTTTGTTTGAGACGATTGCTGAACGCTTTTTACGTTTTTTAGCCAATATATAATTATTATACAGTTCAAGCAGTCCCTGAAATTTAAATAATAATAATAATTAGCTGTATTCAATTATATATGTTTTGTAACTTACTTGAACTATATCTTCTGGTCGTTTATTCATAAGTTCCATTATAAATTTTGCTTTATTTATAAAAAGCTTTATAATTATTTCTTCATAAGATTGATCTTCTTTATAAATCTTTATTTGAAACCTTAACGATTCCAGTACGCTATTTACTAATTTCATGTAATAATTAGGATTATCCATTGCCTAAAAATTAATTAGTTTATACATATAATAATAATAATATATAAAAGTTATATGGCACGTTTTTATAAAATAATTGGTATAATTAGCAATTCATCATATTATTATATTAGATTTTTTAACTTCTCAAAATCTTGGAGTAATTTAAAAGTTTCAACTTTGCTATTTCTTTGTACTTGATAGTACTATGAAACTGGGTGTAAGAGGCATTTTGCTTTAAGTTGCGTAAATTATCAAAATTTGTTTAGAATTGTTGGCGAAAACAATGACGAAAAATTTTGCCAGAAAGAAATGGCCTGACCCATTATTGCATAAGACTCTAAATCGGAAAAATCTCTTACTAGCCATAATTAAATACATTTATTCAATTAATGAGCCATAATTAAATATATTTAATTATGACTTTAATTACAATTTATAATAGTTTTATTATAATTCGTTACCTTGAATATTTCAAGTGATCCGTATATATGCAATATTGCATCATCATAATCTTGCCTTTTTATCATTGATTCCATTTTCAAAATCAAATTGTTAAGGTCTTCTTCCACAAATTGGTCAGGAAGACTTACAATTAAGGACTTAGGACTGGTGACTGCACAAGCCCCCAAGGAATCGCACACTTTGCAAAAAACATTAATAGGAGAGTCTGATAAATAATAAAAATAATAATTTTGTGACTTGATTTTACTTTCTTTCATTCATTATATATCTATAATTGTTTAACGTAATAATTATTTTTACCTGAATATGGCAAAGTTGTCTCCACAAATGTATTTTCAATGAAAGATCCTATTAAAAATGTTTTATATTTGATTCGCAAATAAAATGTATATTGCAGAGGATAGTCATCTGTCTTATCTTTGGCTTGTGCAATGGATATAGTAAATTTGGTAGAAAAAGCAACACCGATTGCTGGATGAATCTTTAAAAAATAAAGTTGTTATTAAAATTAAGGATCTGTATACAATTTGTTTATATTGTAAATTGTTATATTTACAACTCATAAAATCAAACGTGTACTGTTTCTACTTACCAT